CCCCCCCCCCCCAGCCCTCTACGGCTGCCAATGACTATAATTCAATGTGAGATAATGTGTCCATACAGTAACTTCATCTCTCAGCTAGCTAACCAGTGTAGGAGGTCAGAGGTCATGTAGTGGCAGCTCCTCTATGATGACTTTAGTTCACCGGTCTTCGTTGGTGACTCACTGAGCTCAAGTCCCCCTGCAGGTTGTGGGCTGTGCTGGTGCATCATTAAAACATGGTTCCACCTTCGGTCTGACACGTGCAATAAATTAGAGTGAATCTGGCATTCAGGTAACCAACGCATCAACGGGATGAGGTTTAAGAGTCAACACGAGTTCCAGCTGTCTTCAACCTTAAACCAGAGCTAAGCTAACGGCTAACAGCCTGTCATGTTTAGTTTAAAATCAGATGTGCTATGAACAGAGTTCATGAAGCAGGACACTAAACATCAACACAAAATGACACTTGTCAAGATTTATTTGAGAAAATATAAAGAATACAAATATGCATGAAAGACCACTTTGTATATTTAAGAGTTTTGGACATTTCAATCTACAAATATCTAAAATAACTGTATACTCTATTTACTGTATATTGATATACTGGACTACATATACAAGTCATATAAACAACACTGTACAGACATGGCGGAGTAGATGTAGTTATGTACAGAGAAGATTCAAGCACTTGTGGTTTTCGCCTCCATTCACCAGTTTTTGTGGAGTCATTGACAGCTGAGGGGGTCTCTTCAGAGGAGGCTGCTGTTTGAGAGTCTAACCAGATGTCTGCCTCTTATGACACGGTGATTTCTTCACTGTCCGACTCTGAGAGCTCCGACTGTTTGCCGGACTCTGACGGAGAGGAAAGATGGTGATGATGGTGATGGTGGTGAAGACGGGACTCATGGCTGTCCAGCCTGTGGCAGTGGGTGCTGCCTACATCAGTGAGGTCTGGGTGGGGATTGGTTTTGGTGGGGAGGGTCTGCTGTCGACAGCCACCTGTCGACAGCAGCTCCCTCTCTTTGGAGTTCCTCCATTTCATCCTGCGGTTCTGGAACCAGATCTTCACCTTCAAAGGACAGAAGAAAACCAGTGTGTGAATTTCACTGACCTCATCGACGACTAACCTCGTTCACAGTTATTAAATACACAATATGAGAGCCACGGGGAGCTGGCTCATTATATAACATGACTGTGTACAATACATTTGACAAGATGAAATAGTCCTTGAGGGGTACTGTACCTGGGAGTCTTTAAGCCCCAGTTTACTGGCGAGTTTCTTCCTGTCTGGTTTGCTGATGTATTTCTGCCTCTGGAAAGTTCTCTCCAGGGCCTTCCTCTGGAGGTCTGAGAACACAGCCCGCCTCAGCATGCCCCTCCTGGGTTTCCCTCTGGGGGCCAGGGGCCATGAAAAAGTTCCCGGGACAGGAACCACAGAGGATGAGGCTGGAGGGACAAAAGAGATTCATAAGCCATCCCTATATGATCTCATGGAAACACTGCATTGTAGTTGTCATCGTGCATTCTGCATCTGGCTAATGATGAAAAATAAATGAAATAACAATGAATCTAATTCTGTAAGACCCTTGGGACCCCTGTAGCCAACTTTGAGGAGATGGATTCTACAAAAACATGGGATTACTACACAGAACCACAGAACAGCTGCTGTTCCCAAATTCCCAGAAAAAGCAGACGTGAACAAAGAAGAAATGATCGACGTCATTTATAAAAGATGGAGAACTAGTTTAGCTCATTATCTAATAGCAAGCCATCAAAACGAGGTTACAAGGTTCCTTCATTGTCATTGCACAACAGGACTGCGCAACAAAATGAAGTTTAAAGTCATTTTGCTACATAAGTAAATACACACAAAATAGAAAGTATTTTACGGTGGAGGATGAGGATACAGTACGGACTTAGAGAGCCTGAGGAGAGAAGCTACTCTGAACAGATACATACGTAGGTGCGCTGTAGGAAATCACTAGTGATGGCTACGTGTCCATGTGCAGAGAATAATGGCTTCATCAACTGTACTGTGGTATTAACATTACATATATGATTTAGTTTTGTCCTTACTGCATACATTAACAACAGATGATTGATTTCTAACATTTAGACACATTGATGGCACACAGACGGTTTACAGCCGCTATGAGCAGCTACTGGATGATGACGATGATGATGAGTATGAGTGCATAAGTCATAATGTTGGGCTTTACATTTCTGTGCAGTTGTTTCTGTATCCGCTGCTAAAGATGGAATAGTTTCATTCCACAATTCATTGTACAATTTGATTAATTAACAATTATTTGCATTAATAACTTTAATTTTGTCCTCTGATGAAGAGTTTCTTAGCATCTTGAAGGTTGACTCGTACCATTCTGAGGAGCCACCAGAGTGTGAATGGGTGAATGATGACGTGTCTTCTGAGCCTTCTGGTAACTGAGCCTTCTGGTATTTCTGGCTTCTTTTTGTTTGTGCCTTTAATGTGTCTAAAATGTTAGAAATCTATCGATCTATCATACTTTCTTGATGTTCTTGTTTATTTAGTAAAAATGCAGTTTCTGAACGGATAAGTTTGAATGTGATTTATGACTAGAAGCTTTGAAGCTGCTTTAGCAGGATTTCTGCTAAACTTCTACGTTCCTCAGGATCTCAGGGAAGAGTCATCCCTTCTGATTTCCATCGTTAGCACACAAGCTCCTGATGCTGCCGATAATATACTCGTTCTGCCTGAAATCTGGCGTTAAAAAGCCCCAATTTGTCCAGCAGTGGAAACAGAGCGTATGCTAATGAGACGGGCTCTCCAAAGCTCAGCCCACACTGCCTCTAATGAGGCATGAAGGAGGCTTGTATGGGCTGCAAATGCACAGAGAAAAGTGATTGTGTTGTAATGAACAGAGTGGAAAAGGCCGTCGACAGGCCAGTATATTACAGGCCCATTAAAGACAGGTCAGTATAATGACACAGCTTAGCGCTCTTCATGAGCTACTTATCAAAGCTCTTCTCTCTACATGTTCATATGTGTACAACTAACCAATATGCTATGCAATATTGGTAAATAAATCAAATCAATGTGTGTGTGTGTGTGTGAGTGTGTCTGTGTGAGAGCTAGTGTGTGTGTGTGTGTGTGTGTGGTTTTGGCTCCTATTGGTCACGGTGAGGGATCTTTGTGGGGTTGCAGAGGGGCTTGGTGGGAAAACGACGGCGCATGAAGAGGCGCTGAGTTCCTGAGCTGGGAAGAAACCCGCCTCACATTTAGACCGTGACAAACGGCACTGATCTGTTGAGAGCGTGACAAACTGGACTAATTTGTAGATTGGGACAACTGGTGCTAATGTCAGCAGTCAGTGCGCCGCTTAACAGACCTTCAAATTGGCGGAGCTGATTCCAAGCTGTCCAGAGAATTCCCATGCTAAACGGCTGAGACCACATCAGCATCATCATCAGCATCATCATCAGCATCATCATCAGCATCATTAATAGCATCAGCTGGTAACATGTGCAGCTCAAACCATTCACGAGCTGTCACATCATTCAGTGAGATCTGTGTGGACAGATGTAGCTGTAGTCACAGATAACGTATGAATCAGGTATATCCATGAAATAATTCATTCATATATTAATCAATATCAGTTTGAAATGTTCAGTGCCAAACGGTAGATATGGATGCATCATATTTTACAGACAGCTGGAGGTCTGACACACATCTGTACTGTAACCCCACGTACATTCATTACATTGATCCAAAGCGACTTACAATTCAGATCCTATCACACCGTAGGCACAGCTACAGGAGCAGCTTTATACTGCACGTAGTGCACGTACTGCAGTATGATGCTGATCTTGTTTATTTGTGCAGTATATTGTAAATAGAAAAGTGAAAGCTAGATGTCAAAGGGATCAATGTGTGAATATGTGATGTTTGGAGATGTTAAGCTTCACAGTCTGATGTCGGTGGTTCTTGTAACTGTTTTAATTGCTGTAAATTGTGTCGTTTATGTTCTTGTTAATGTTGCGCGTTCTCAGATCCCTCTTGTAAAAGAGATGTTCATCTTTAAAGAGATGAAAATGACTCTCAGTCCACCAACCTGTGAAATAGGAAGCTCTGATGAAAGGATGAAGGCCTCCATCAAAGAAAGGCAGAGGGAAGGACTTGGTCTGAAGACTCTGGACTGAGGAGCAAGTGGAACAAGAACATATTGACTGAGCTGATATTTCATAACATCAACAGGAAATACCACAGACACAAATATATCACAATGATAAATATAAGGAACATTTAAATATCCAATATTTTAATAACTGGGCTGAGGGACAAATAATTGATTGAAAAAACAGATAACAACATTTTTAAATTGTTTCTGATGCACCTCGGCAGTGTTTTTATTGGCCATACGCTAATTTACTGGGCCTGACCTCTGTCTGTGTAAGAATGAATGAAATGTATTATTATTATTACTATTATTATTATTATTATTATTATTATTATTATTATTATTATTTATTATTATTCAGCAGTTTGCAGAGCCGGAGAGTTGATATTGCAAAGGCTATTGTGAGATACTACTATTACTACTAATTATAATAATCATAATTCTAATAATAAATAATATCGTAATAATAATAGAAATACATATTTTGTCATATTCTACTGATCATTAGGCTACTAACAGCAGCTGCTACCTTCATAAGAATCATAACTATCATCATCATCATCATCATCGTCCAGTACACCGGCCTCATACTCACCGCTCCGTGTCGACGGTGCCAGTATCGCACTAACACCGAACTTCAGGTAGCCGGAGTCCGGGCAGGCAGTGTGCGGAGAGCCGGAGCTCTGAAGCACAGAGCGCTCCGTGCTGGGTTCTAACGCCCGGGATGGGCCGCACGGTCCCACGCTGAGCGGGAGAATGTCCCCGGGAGTTCTGGAAGAGAAAGTCCTATGTATGTAGCTGACCGGCTGGCTCAACCGGAGGAGATCTTCTACCAGGAAGCCTGAGTGGAATGAGCGGTTCAGGGGCGAGGAGAGAGCCGCAGCGGGACGCAGTGAGCTCGGGTACAGAGGAGGCGGCAGAGCGCTGCAGGGGAACATCATGGTCGTCCAGTCTGGAAAAGTTTCCAACTTTTTCTTCTTTAGTCTGCAGAGAAGCCTCGAAGGAGAAAATAAAGAGGGACCCACAGGCACGGTCACTCTGCGCGCTGTGCGTCTCTGCGCCCTCTTGGAGAGGTTTTATACAAGGCAGTCACTTCTACGCACACACACACACACACACACACACACACACACACACACACACACACTCAGGCACGTGCACGTGTGCACGCGCACAAGTTCTGCCCTCAGCCTCCGCCTGAATCTCTTTGAACAGTAAGGCCAGACTGACGGGATTGGTCAACGGCCCTCTGATGCTTTTGGGAACCCTCATGGTTTGATCTGTTGTATTTATTGTAATTCATGTGTGTAATAAATGTCATTAATGCACTCATGATACTGATGAGATGCACACATGAACAGGACTCCTCGAGGTGTTTTACGTCTGGCCCGTTGGATTATGTGAGAGCTATAAGAGGCTGAATGTGTTCTTACTGTTGAAGAACCTCTGAAGAACTAATCACTCACATTAATGCAGCAGACAGAGGAATACACAGAACGAGTATCTCTACACAGGCCCGTATTCAGACAAGGACACCCCACAATTAGCAAAGTTTAACTAAATATATTAATAATATGAATAATAATAACAACAATAAGGACTCTCACAAACAGATTGTAAAGCCCTCTGAGGCAAATTTGTAATTTGTGATTTTGGGCTATACAAAAATAAATTGAATTGAATAATCATAATAACAACAACCCCCCCTTCCCAAAAGCAGCCACACATTAAATCATGACATCCGGTTCTTTCTGTCGGTCGGAGCGGCACCATTATCAACGTGTCTGCTTGTGATGAATGTGTTGTGATGAATGTAATGACACAATTAACCATTAAGGACTCTGACAAACAGGCCCATGTAGTCTCTTGTGCATCGTCAGGACAGGCCTGTGAGAATAATGATTATGATAATTACAATACTCATGTTATTCAAGTCACTTAAAGTCAATTAAATCATTTCAGGTATAAAAGATCTGCACAACGATTTCTGTGGGATTTCCCCCAAAAAATCGCAGCATTTATTTTTCTACTTGAATCCAGGTTGTTTCATCATCATCATCATCATCATCATCATCATCATCATCATCGTCATCAACGTCATCGATTCGCTGTCATCCAGTCAAGTTGGAAACAGGTGTCCTTGGTGTCCTTTTCCACCTAAAAGGACTGAAAGAGAGCGAGACTTAAGTCAGCTTTGTTTTGGTCTCCTTTGATCATGTAATCGTCTGAATGTCCCCCGTTGACTTGAATGAGTGTAAAATGAGTCAAAGTTCAGAACCACAGAACACCCACTGTCCCTGAATGTCCCCTGGCACGCTGCTTTAGGCTAAATGGAGGAAATCGTCATTCAGATCTCGGCAGTAGGCAAAATGTTTGTGACCTTTGGCATTGATGTCTTCTTATAGATTGAGTTTGTGATTGTGAAATAAAGTGGTGGTGGTGTTTGGACTTCACAAAGATCGAGGAGAGGAACAAAGACTTTCAGAGAAGATCTGGTCTCTCTTGACTCTCTTGATAAGACCTGTGACTAACGGCATTTGAGCACGTGCTGCTCTCCTCTCCGTTCATCCTCCATGAGCTCTGAAACCAGCATCGTTTCTCCCTCTCTGTCACCGGGGTCACCAGCATTACGTCCCGGTGAGCAGTGACGCCCAGGAAGGACTGAATGAGCATTAACTGATTACAAGGCGTGGCTTCTTGTCCTGCAGCACTCTGCTCTACATCCATTGACAGTTGAAGCTGACTCCTCAAATGTTTTCGGACCAACTTTTCGGGTCACAAGTCCATTCTGTATCTTTACTGCTGAGGTTAGAACCAGAGGGGCTGCTATCAGATGGTCGTGTGTGGTCTGATTTACGCCGAACATAAGATACCGAACCAACTGAGGCATCTGTGCCTTTACTTCCTAGTGGCCACATGCTCCAGCAGCTTTAACCAGGAGGCTTAACCCACACTGAACACAGCAGCCTTCTCATTCTCCAGACATTTCAGGCCCAAATCTATACACACTTAGATAATATCATTTTGAAGTCATCATGATGAAGTGATCCACTCTTCAATAAAAACAACCAATCATTAAATATGCAGAAAATTTCTGAGTGGCCGTCCTGCCGTGAAATATGACACCTTAACCAGAACCAGAACCAGAGAGAGAGAGAGAGAGAGAGAGAGAGAGAGGGAGAAATAGTTGCATTCAAAGCATTTTATTCCTTCAGAAAATCCCTCTATTGTATTGAAGTGGAGCAGATGGTTCCCTGGGAGGGAACATGGGCATCAGCAGAACTAATGTCTGCTGCTGGTCCCACAGACAGACCGGCCTGCTGCTCGATTCTTAACCAGCACAACAGCTGTCGGTGACTTAAACACCAGTTAAGACTCATTTCTAATCTATCAGCCTCTTGAAGTCTTACAACAGGAACCCTCCCCACCTTACTGGCCCAATTGGTTACACATGCAAAGAGGGGAAAACAACTAAGGCTGTGTCTGTGGTGAAGTAACTAGTTAAGCTCTAAGCCTCCAAGTTTGAACAAAAATGGAGCAAACAAAGCAAAGAGACAATGCTGACTAGCCTTGAACGTGTTGTCAGAATGACGGGATGAATGTTTCACAAGAAGCTTGTTAAAGTCGTTTCCCTCTGTTTGTCTTGGAGGCAACAGAGCTTAGCCTGCACGCTACATGAAACTACATAAATCGATATGCTTTGCTCATCAGAGGCAAAAGAGCTTTTGGGCTACAAATGTTCATTACCAAGTGTGGCAGGTGTCACGTACAGAACATCACATCACGTTCGCTGGTGGAAGGTAGTTCGGTCTACAATGAACCCAGTTTCTTCCTGAAGCTTCTCTGACTGCAGGACACGATGCTGGCTCAGCTGAACCAGCTCCTGTCCATTGGATCAGAGTCACATGAACAGATGGACACGTCAACAAACACATTAGCCAGCAGTCATCATTATCTGTATGTGACAAAAATACCAAAGAACATAAGAGATGATTCATTGAGTTTAATATCTTTTTGTGGTTTATTAATACTTTTTACAGTTCATGTAGAATAAGCGTATACTTTTAAAATATGGTAAATGTTATATGGACTTCAACTTTTATAGATATTTTCTCGTCTTCCGACCACTCAAAGCACTTTTTGTGGGTAAATACAGAAAATGGTCGTCAACTTTTAGAACACAATCTCGTGTGCAGAGACAGATGATGTGGCCGTCCTTCAATCAGAGGGTCGGCGGTTCGATCCCCGGCTCCGCTAGTCGCATGTCGATGTGTCCTTGAGCAAGACACTTAACCCCAAAAATGCTCCCGTAGCCGAGCCTACGATGTAGAGTGTGATGGAATCTGAATTGTAAGTCGCTTTGGATAAAAGCGTCTGCTAAATGACTGTAATGTAATGTAATAATGTAATAATGTAATGTAATGTAATAATGTAAATGGACGGTTCTTCACGTGCATGAACATCCTCCGGTTCCTAACAATGCAACATCACCTATGACATACTTTCTCACATGTATGTGACGGAGACGTCCCTCTGAGCATTCCGTGTTTGCTGAATATAAAGTGGTGCACTCGCACGAGCCACCAAACAGAAACACTAAGAAGGAGCTCGGGCCGCTCTCTGCCCTGTGTAGCCACGCTGCCTTCACTGTCTCCATCTACCCAAACATCTCACCAAAATGATGTTAAATCAAAGTATCAGCTATGACAACTTCAATTTGTTGTTGTTGTTTTGCACAGTTTTGTTCCACATATATTAATTGATAGCGACCAAAGTTGCGCAGTGTTGCTAAAAACTTGCATGAAGCATCACAACTAGAAACATGTAGCGGAGACAAAGACAAACACCTCAGTTCATTGTATTAACAACATGAAGCACTATCTGTAGGCACATCAGTACCATGATTTAAAGTGACAGAGGGATACATATTCACACACGTCGTCTTTGTTGGCCTTCTGATGCATGTACGTACTTGTGTCCATGTGATCAGCATGTGAGTCGAGCATTAGCAGCTGCAACATGCAGCTTGGTGCCTCGCTTTAGAAATAGAAAAGTCACAAGTTCAAAATGTGAGCGAGCGAGAATATTAGAGCGACACAAGCTTGTAAAAAGGTGAAATGTCATCATGGAAATATTGTATACTGTTTCAATACAATTGCCAATAGTATCATCTCTCTCACTCCTCCTGGAGCCCACTCTCTCACTCTCTCTCTCTCACTCTCTCTGTCCCTCTGCGTGTCCCTGGGCCAGAGCATCTGTTTCCAGCCAGTGTGGAACAGAGAGGATTAGTGGGGCCTTCAGTGTCGAAGTGCGACGACAAGTATTAAAGCCATATTAACTTTCCATTAAACATCACCTCGCTCTGTGGAGGGAGAGAAAGACACAAGCCCTGGGATAAAGCCCCTCAGAGAGAGAGTGTGTGTGTGTGTGTGTGTGTGTGTGTGTGTGTGTGTGTGTGTGTGTGTCACCCTCAATGCACCTGTTCCCTCAATGTACTTTTCTGCACTGGAAAAGACAATGCAGAACAATACTGAATGACACACAGAGTTGTTTCATTCAGACTCAGTAGTTCTGTTATGGTTGTCAGTGACATCATCAAACTGTGAATATCAGTTTTCAAAGCATTGGGAAGAAGAAGCTGCATGAGAATATTTATTATATTTGTATCATATGTCTATGATATGTGTATAAATATCACAGACTTTAAACAGATAATTATAATAATATAATGATACAATAAGAAAAGAATGTAGCCTAATGGAATACATGTTTGTTGGTTTCAAAAAGTCTCTTACAGCCCACGAGGTCAACTGACTGAAAGTGAATTCTACCTTTAAAACGTCTGTAGCTGCTCATTGTTATCTTAACAAAGAATGAAATGAGGACGTGTTGTGTGAACGGTCTCACCCTGCAGAGAAGCATCACCGTCTCTGCAGCTCCC